GTTTCTCTCGGTTTTCTTTTCATTCGGCTGTTCTTCCTCATTTTTGCCCTTCTCAGCAGCCCCACTCCAAAATCCTGCAGTCTTCTTGTCCCAGAAATGAGATCTGTTCCTTTATTTCAGCTACAAGACTCCAGCAAAACCTGATGGCGTTAACTATATCCGGACAGATGATGAGGTAACAAATGATTTGCATTTAACATCTCTGTTTAGGAGAGGAAGAGGGTGGGCAGAGGACTACTAGCTTTTTTAGGGCCTACAGACTTTCTCAGAGTGGGCACCTCTCAGAAGCAAGGATGTAGAACAGAGAGAAAACAGAAGGGTGAAGGCTGAGTCATTTCCTCAGAAATGATGAACACTATAAGTTGCCTGAAGTGACTGATGCCAAGAGCTATCAAATGCAGCTCTGCTCAGTCTCCGTTATGGCTTGACCCCCTTAGGATGAGTTTCATTGGATTAAGTGGGCAGGCCACGATGCTTTTACAAGAGAATTTGCATTTTGGGATTTGAATAGATCACTAAGCTTAAGATCAGAAAAAGCCTCTCCCTCTTAGCAGAGATACCGAAGAGGGAATGAGACAGTCTTCTGCCATGCCTTGGTGAGCGAGGAGGACAGTAGAAGGAGCACCTGGCCAGTACGACTGGCGTCTCCCTCTCCTTCCCAGCTGGAAGGGGCTGCTACCTAGACAGAGTTACACAGATTGGATCTGCCTTTCACGGGCACGTTGCAGTTGGGGGCAGCAGGAACAAAGAGGTGCCTGGAAAGCTGCTAGATCCTTCCTACATCCGGAACTGTTTCGTTGCAGGGTGACTTCAGACACAAGTCTTCATTTGTCATATAAGACGCCAAAAGAATACTGCAAACCAGCAACAGCGAGTGTGAAAATACCTCCTCCAGGAACTCAAAGCGAGAGCAAAAGATGAATTAAGTGCGCTTGGACGAGTTTGGAACACACAAGAACTTGATAGCTAGCTACCTGTGTATCTTTTTTTTCTTTGCCAAAGTTTAAAGTAACTCCTCACTGCCCAACTTGCGTCTCCCCTGCCTCCGGAGATACCAACAGGATCACCTAGACCTGTCCTTGGACTAAGGAAGCGTTTAAATACTTCCCAAGAGACTGGGCTGTGCAAGTTTGTGGAATTGCCTTCTATCTGTGCTGCAGGGACACAGCCACAATGCGCAAACCAACCAGGGGAACGACGTTAGGTAAACGTGTAGTAGACGTAACTAGTACGTATTACTAGTAGACAAAAAAAGGTGCTGATAAGGCAATAGGTGGACTTCAAAGAATAAGACTTATCCATGCCAGGGGGAGCCTTCCTCTCAGCCGCTCGTTGCCCAGGCCTGGCTGGTGACTTGTACGCATTGGTGATTGTCTTGCGCTCGTGGCTCTGCCTGCTGGGGTGCAGAGCGGGGTATCTGAGTAGCCTCCAGTGACAGATGCCGATACAGTAAACGCAACTCATGCGCTCAGCCCTTTTTGTCAGCTTCCCGAGTTCTCGTTACGGCGTTGAACAGGGAGCACGGGCAGCGCCAGGCCAGAAGGATTGCTTCTGTTCCCTGCTTCAGAGAGAACTCATTGCACGCAGGTAACCCCTCCTCCTAATCTGCACAAAGCAGGCTTGCCTCTTGCGTCTGTCCGTGGTGTAAAGAGGCTTAGAGCGGAGGCAGAGGACCTAGTGCTAAGACATCCCTTTCAGGAAAATTAAAGCCAAATACTTCCACGGGCTAAGATTGCCATTAAAGGTACTGAGATATCTTCGAGCTTTTTTACCTTCGCCATTTATTTTGTAAAATCCCACATTCTAAATTTTTTGCAAAGATATATTTTGATTACTTCGGAAAAGGTAACATTTCTATTTAAAGTGTAAATACGTGATGCCAGCAGTGTTTCAGTAACGTAGCTATTTTTTTACTTTTTAAGCTACAGAGAGGAGCTCAAACGTTGCTATAGTATGGCACTGTCGGAGCATATCAGTATTATTGCCAAGTGTCATAAAAAACTGCAGGTGGAACAGCACCTCTTTCCTCTTAAGCTAGCTTCAGCAATTTCCTTGTCACAAGAGGTCTTACCAGACACAGAACAGAGTCACTCAGGGATAGTTTTTGTAAATTTATGGCAGGAGCTATCAACTTTTTTATATATAAAACTTACTTTTCTTGCCAGTGACCAACACTTCGTTTTTGTTGTTGCAAGAAATATCCAGGGATGGCTTTGGGATTCAGTTCCAACAAGGTGACAGAGTGACTTCAATGTTTGCTACCCCTCTGCAAGTTCCCTAAAGCACTAACACCGTGTGACAGCTACGGCAACTTTACAGGTTTAAACTGCATAGCCAAGGCAACTGTTTCTGGAGTTGGGAAAGCAAAAGCTCAACACAAAAGCACTTTTGTAGTGTCAGTTGCAACTTTTCTCTGGATGGTAAAGGAAAGAAGAAAACAAAACAAATCCAGTTCTCTTGGCTTTAGAGAGAATAATTGGGAACACGTGTCTCCCAGGAACATACGTGTCGATAGCGTTGAACAGCACTGGGTAAGAGAAGACTGCAAGATGTGGACGCAACACTAGAACTGTGCTGTGGTTTAAGAATTTTTTTTTAACGTAGCATAATTTAGTGTTCTTGTATTCCAATTTGAATTGAGTTGTCTTAACTTTTCCTGTATACAGTATTTTGGATACTTGACGATTTGGACTGTCAGTGTTATTTTTTCGTGTTCTGCATTAATCTGCGGTGTTTCCTAGGGGCCTCGCTGGACATGCCATTGCTGCATTTGTTTTGCCTAAAGGCAGTGCTACCACTTCTCCTTTTCCCAATGAAAGTAAAAACAAGGATAGGGCAATAACCATACGTGCTCTGTGTAGCTCAGACATGACCACCGCTATCTTGCGACTACACGATGGTTACCTTCTGAAGACACGCTCTTCAGCCAAGCCACACAGCACTGTTCCCTGCTGCACGCTGCCTCTAATCGTTATGACAGTAGCGAGCGTAACATTCCTTTGCACCTTCTGGATACCCACTACTCCTTTTCTATGCTGCTTTTAGGATACCTATAGTAAGGGAGAGAAAGAAAAGGTTTGCATCAAGGTAGCTCTGGGCACTATGGGAGCACAGTCTACCGCCTCACCGTGAGCCAAAGGCAGCCTTCACGTGAAAAGCCAGCTAGCTAAGAACCAAGACTTATTTTTCAGTTCTAAAATGCGACAGTGGCATCTCTAACGAGAGAAGGGGAGGTGATCCCCCTGATACAGCTCATGCGATCCGACTGACGGAATTCATTGTATCGTTGTGAATAATATTCAGGTTTGTACTAATGTATGACATTTAACTTTGCCAAGAATGTTTTACATAAATACCAAGCTATAAAGCATTCTTGTAGGGTTTTTTGTTTGGTTTTGGTTTTTAAACAGCCGTATTACTGGAGGCTTCTGCTTTCAGTTCAGTGAAATAAGGGAAAGTCTCCTCTGTCGGAGCACTCTTTTACTTGTACTGGGGTGAAGGTTACAGAAAGTCCAACTGTTTATCAGTTTCCTCTTGGACATGTGTCTATCCAAGTTCTTCTCTAAAAAGGGCAATTAACGCTTACAGGGCTCATCTCAATGCGGCTTGAGGACAGGAAAAAAATAGAAAAGTACAAGTTAGGAAATAAACTATTTCTATGTACCATTCAAAGTGGTTAAACGATACTTTAAGGCGGGAAAGAAGGTACAAAGCAAATGGATGTGGCCATAATTGGCCATCGCTTAAGCCAAAGCCATTCCATATGCCCACTGTTCCCGGGTTTTGACTTTGATTTGGAGAATAAATTCAACCTCACTTGAGGGTTTCTCTGATCTTCGTCACAGAATAGGGAAAGTGAGGGCAAATGATGAGATTCCAGTGCAGGAGGTAAGTGCCTCTGGAAGGGCTGGGGCAAAAGCACACTCAACCTCTTTGTTTCCACTGGTGCAGAAAAGCCTACCCTGCTTCTGTAGTTCGTGCCTGAGCAAGACCAACCAGCATGAACAAAACAGATTCCTTTTTCAAGTTTCAATGGAATGTAGGGCAAGAGCTCTGTAACAGAAGTTAACAACAGAAAAACTTCAGTTAGGCTCACATGGCAGCATCAGAGAGACTCGGGAATGGTCAGATTCCCCATTTACACGGCGCGTTTATGATGAACAAGTTATCTGTGCAGAGCACAAAGCTCTGCATAGGACTTACCAACCTCGATTTCAGCGAGTTACTCATATCCTGCCTGCAGTCAAATAAGAGTCTATATTTAAAAGCTGCTGGGTCCAACATTAATTGAACTGAGTGCCTAAGATACCAGCGACATAGTAGAAGAGACTTAGAGGCTGTAGAAATCTATAGAAAAAAATAATTCCTGTCAGATCAAGAAGTGGGTGGAATTAATCCTGTAACCATTTATTTTCATAAAATGTTAATAGTTGGAAATAACATAGTTCAAGAATGGAAATATTCCATATAAAAGAACATTAAGGCTGTTCACACACACAGGAGTTTGCACAGCAAATAAGGGGTGATGTAGCGTGCAATTACCAGATTTAGGGGTGTGGCAGTGACAAGCTGTTTTACCTTTGTTCAAATTAAAGCAACTCTAGTATATAACCAAGAGGGACAAGGAGGGATCGAGTGAATAAGCTGAGCCACTCACCTCCCTGCAAGCTGTGATAAATGCATTTATTGCTAAGCTTGTGGCAACATTATGCTCTTAGTTTTCCAAATGGACAAATTACACATCCTGTGAGTGAAAAGCCAGCCTCCCTTCATACTGCAGCTTTTTAGCACTCCAGCGAGTTTTGTCAACAGCAGCTGCTTATAGCACATACGTGTGCTAATGCAGACGTCGTGTGCCCGTCTTCCAGACACTTTCATGTAAAAACCAAATGAGAGCAGATAAGGAAGGAAGGAAGGATGCGTGCCCACAATATAATTACAGAGGAAAAGGACAGATTTCAGGCAACATGATGACTCTGTACAAAAGTTCAATGAAAGGATCAGTTGTCTGGTTTCAGGGGAGTTCTCCGTGGGTACCATCTCAGAGGAACGGGCCGGCTGCTTTTTTTCCTTGCTGGGGATTCTACTTCCCACTTCCGTGGCAGGGTCAGGCTGGAAGAAGGAAGCAGAATGACCGGTTATTTTACAGCACTTCACCAGTCCTCCCTGCGATTGCTGTTTCAGACCTGCGTTGCACTTACGGTTTCTCCGGTGGTGTCAAACAGATAATATCTCTTGGCTCATCCTCAGCCTCTTTATTCCCTGCAAATAACGCATGTATTTTCTTGTTTTAAAAAATGCCACAGATTTGATGATTTGGGGTTCCCCCCCGCCCCGAGGTCAGAATCACAAAGATAACTTGCCTGGCGCTGAATCCGGTGTGCGCGTCAAGCTGATGTAACTGACCCCAGCGCCGAAAGTCAAGTCATTAATGGTCTCTGAAAGGAAAAACACATATTAGCAGTCAGCTTGTGACACAGCCAGAGGGCAAGGCACGCTGCAGTAGAACACTTTAAGTGTCACAGAGTAAGTATATCCAGTTAATTGCAAGCACGTACACATCTCTCTTTTCCAGCCCGGCAGATCTCAGTGTCTCCCATCCAGCCTCAAAACTATGTGCTGAATCTGATGGGCCATCTGTGCACACCAGCTTCACCCTCCAGACTTACGGCCTTCCTTCCGTGTGGAGGAAATGAACTGAAATACGGAACCTCCGTCACAGGCCTCCTTGTCCCGCCGAGGCGGGAGAGCCATGCCTTCCACTGAAGCTTTGCCGTCTTTGGCAAGGTGTTCGATCCGGATCGGTCGCTTTGCCTTGTCAAGGCAGACTGCGGGGCCCCTGAAGGCTGACAAAGGACCTGAACAGCCGTTCCGTGAGGAACTGCCCGCAGCCAGACAAGAGGAATCACTTGACAAGGAGGCTAGGTAGAACTGAGCTTGCCTGAGTAGGCCAGCATTGTCAGCTGTCTCTTTCCCGTCATTTGTCTCGGAAGAGATGTCACAATATTCAGATTTTACTTTACTCAACACTCTGTTTTACGCTCATGTTTCCCAGAACCTTTCAGAAGGAATTAAGGTAGTGTGTGCTTTATAGGGCAGGAGTTGGAAACTCTGCTAAAGGGACTTCTCTCTACAGACTAACTGGGTTTGCTCTCTGCTTCCCTGTCCTAGAAGGGAATCACTGAAGCTTGTAGAGGAAATCCAACTTGATCTGTCTGCCTTAGTTGGCCTCTGCATCTCTCAAGACTGACCTGCAAGTGTCCTGACTTTGTGCAGTGTGTGCCTTAACAAGTTATCGAGGTTAATGAGACGTTTATGTGAAAAGAAGGAAGGGAGGAAGGAAATGGTAGAGAACTGTCATCAAACACTGCTTCCCCTGCAATCAAAGGCGGTAGCTTCACAACGTGTGTTTTAAGTACCACAGCGAAGCAATCCACACTTGCCCAGACCCTCTTAGCCATTGTCAAAGTAACGAGCAGGAGTTGAGGAGGAGGCCCAAAGTCAGCAGGGGAAAGAGCGACAGCCAGAGCAATCGAGACAGCTGTTCTTAACTTCTCGAGTACAAAACAGTGCACAAAGAACTGCATCTCCAATAGTTTTAGAATGACACGCCAGAGAAATAAAAATGTTTTATATTGTCTATCAGCCTGCAAGACCCAGCGCCACCGTGCAGATGGCTCAACACACACTAACTGAAGGGATGATACTGCTCTGTACAGTTTGTCTCCCTGCTGAAGGACACATGCTGCCTCAAAAAGTAGGAATTCAGCCCTAGTACCACTGCAGATTAACGTTCCTCCTCCTTTGTCACCATATGGTGCTTAAGAGAAACAGCCGTGCAGCTTCCAGACAGAGATATGGCGCTTAAAGCTTTCTGCTCTCTAAAAACATGCCCCCAGTTTTTTTTTTTTCGCACAAAGATCGCCGCTTGTTGTCAGGCAGCAAAGAGAAACACCGAGGCAGACAAATCTAGCCAAACAGCAGAGCACACAGGGAAGGGAAGGGTCAGATTTTCCAGTGGATGCACACGGCTGCCGCTGGTGTGCTCCTGCCTGCTGGCGGCTGGCAGGTGTGTGCGGGCGGCCGCACAGCCGGCTGCCTCGTCGGCCCCACGTCCTTCGCCCTCCTGGGCGTGTGCGGGTCAGGTGTTCGCACGGCTACAGGCGAAGAGGGCAGGCACACACCTGTGCTTCTGGAGTATCGACCCCTCGCCGCAACAGCTCACGACTGCCTACGGAGAGCTGACCTGCCAGACCCTCGCCTATCCTCCCAGCTCCATCGGAGCGCTCTGCCGAGCGCGCGAGGGCGTTTGTCACACTCCGTTCACCCTGCCACGGAGATGCCCTGAAGGAGTTCAGCAGCAAATTGACATCAAGTAAAGGAATCTACTGCTGGAACTCAGCTCCATGTGTGTCTTACTCTAGCTGCCCCTTGCGCTTGGAGAAAGCAACGCTGTGGAACGCTGCGGGGCTGTCAGAAAGCGTTCCAGTAAAACCCGACTTTGGAAGGTCAGGTTGTGTGAGATGGCAGACATCAGCACAGACTCCCACAGTTTGGGATATGAGAGATTTCTGTGTATTTTTACTTTAATTTCCACAGCAGAGTAAAAAACCCCAAATAATTCCCTCTCTGGTGCTCAGTTCAGTTCTTCCTTAGGGTAGAAAACACACACACACACAGATGACTGTGCAGGTTACTAATCCCCCTTGAGCAGATCTCTGTGTTCCCTTGCAATTGTCACAGCTCACCGCCTGCTCTACAAGCAGGTCGTAGCTCACCTGAGATCCTTTGTTTGGACAACAGGAATCCCTTATCTTAGAGCTGAAAAGGACCAGACCTTGGGTATTTCCCTCTGCAGCAGGGTTCTGTAATTCAGTCTGAAAATGCTGAGCTGTGCTTCCCGAGTCAAGGAGAGCAAGTGTCTCAACGCAACAGTATCTTGCATACTTGGGGGGGGGCAACGCATGCTGTTAAGGAGCCACGACAACGTGCCTCCTCAGCACCCCAGAGTTGATGAAGGAAGAAAGGCAGTAGCTCTGTTACTTCAGCAACCCAAAATAAACGCTCTCCTGCGCCAACTCAATACTCTAATACCCTGTGACACGTCAGTGGAGACCGTATTGGGCTGTCCTTTCCTATGTACATCATTCATCCGAGACCTTCAATTTCAGAACGGTTCGTACTTACTACAACGATTTAGAGAAATAAATGATCTGTAGCTATCAACGACTAGTTTTCTCAGCCCTTTAGGGGAGCCATGCATTGCCACCTCTCTCGGAGAACGGGTGCTCGGCCCAGTTGGGAAAGGGTTCCTTTGGGTTACACTTACGATCTGGCGTGCTGATTGCGCGGCCCACCCCAGGAACATTTTCTCTGGTTGACTGTTGATTCAGGCTTTGAAAGGATACTAGAAGTAACAAGGAAGTCATTAAGAACAGAAGTGTGTTCACTCAGAGACCTCAAGGGTCTAACAATCAGGCCGTGCCGACTACATCTAGTCCAACGCCAGACCAGTCTGCAGCAAGCTTCCTACCTTGCTTGCTGCCAGTCGTGCTTGGTGGAAGCGACACGGCCGATGAACTTCCTCCCACGCTCCTGCTGCGTTGCTTGCTTCTGGCTTCCATTGCTTCCCTGGCAGAGTTCAGGATGGCCAGTGTGCTTAAGGATGCTGGCCTACGGGGCAAAAAACCATGGCAACAACAGTGAAGCAATTTCCTTCTGCAAGCCCAGGTGAGATGCATGTAATGAGGAGAGAGACCTGTCCCCTCCCAGTCCCTTATGACCTTAAACACCAAATGTAATGGAGAAGATTAAGCTGGAACACTGGTGAATTTGACACCAAGTAAGGAGTGGATCAGCAAAGCAATGGTCCTGCAGAATATCCTAACTGGTAACATAAACAGTAACGCATACCTGCGACGGAGTAACGGCTGTTTCAGACCATCAGGTGTGGTAAACTCGGGAGGCACAGAGGAAAGACTTGATCCCGGTGGCAAGGACTGTCTCCCACTTCGAGGAGACGGAGCATTATTATTCCAGCCACCAGAAGGTACAGCTGTCTCCAAAGAGGGAGGTTGCTACAGAAAACAGGAGAAAAGATGATACGTCTAACGATAGATACAAGAGTAGAAAATCCTAGATAGAAGATGCTTAGACCTATATGCTGCGTGACTAAGAACTGCCCTTTGTGTGATGGATGTAAAGGGATGCTAGGGAGAAAGAACTTATTGGCAAAATTTGAACAAGAAGCGAATAGGAAGTTTGGATGGGATATATATGTCCTAGTTTAGAGGTCTATATATAGGTGCTCTCCTAAAGTAAGCAGAGAGAGCAAGGTACTTCCAGGGTAGAAGTCATCTCATCTAAAGGTAGGTATCTAAAATAGCTCAGGACAATGGACCCAAGCACATACTTATTTCTTCATGTTGATTTTAAAGAGGATCTGCATGACTAGGCCGGATGTAAGCTTCCACTCTGTATACACCTAAAACCAGACAAAATGAACCCGTTGCTTTTTGACCTGTTAATTATCTTTATCGCTCTGGGAACAGAGCACAATACAACATGTAAGCACAGCTAGTGGCCAATTAGACTTAGTTTTCCCTTTAAATTGAATTCGTCTGACGTTAATTGTTTGCTGCTCCTCTTCGCCTAACGTGTGTTGCTTGCTGTCGTTCTAAGCGTATTAAAGGACTCTGAAACCACAGGTTCTGTCAGCCAAGGTGAAGAGGTGTGAGAACATGACGTAACCACTCTGTTAGAAGTGCTGCAACAAGGTCTGCAGACACCCAGGGTCTGGGCGTGAGGCGTACGCAAACTTTAGCGGAGGCGACAGTACGTGTACAGAGTTAATGGCACCAACCACCTCCGCCCGCACCACCGAGCCCTGCTCCTGGTCCGACTCCTTCTCCCTGGCCAGCTGCTCTTCATACTTCTTCATATCGTACTCCAGCTCGGCTGCCAGCTGCTTGTCCACAGCAAAGAAGTCTTTGATTTCGTTTCGGTAATCTTGCATCATTTCCTGGAGCAAGAAGGAATGTTTAAACTCTTTCAGAAATCTCTCCTGACTACTTATTCATGCCTCCATTCAGATCACAGCTGCTTAAGTGCAAAAGGAAATACCAGTTGGTAGAGCAGAGGTGTTTTTAACAGACTAAGTTTCGATTCCAATTGGTACTTCAGAACACGAAAACGCTTCCAGCATTCGAGCTTTCTGCCCACGTTCCACTGAGGAGGCTCACACGTAACACACTGCGAGATCCTTATCTAAAATCCCTCCACCTCCTACATTATTTAACACAGTGGCAGTGTCACAACATCATATGCCTTCTAAATTTCCTTCTAAGAAGGCTGTTGGTTCCATTACTGGTTGCACATCTAACACATTAACTCAAGAGAGGGGAAAAAAAGCCCAACAAGAAAACACTTCCCCTTACCCGCAAGTAGTTCATAAGGTCCCTAAGAGCTGGGATCCTCTTCTGCTCCATCAAAGACTTCAGTGATGTGATTATCGGGATGATGTTTTCTACAAAGTTCTTCTTTTGAACCTTTGTTGGAACAAGGCACGAACAGTTACACCATGCAATAAAGGAGAAGCCACTCTGTGGTTAGGTGAATAGACTAAATGAGGAGTTCTCACTCCACAGCAAGGGAATTACTGCAATTAAGCCTGCTCGGATGCCGCACGCACGTACACAGGCTTTTAACCTAAGTGGAGGCTTTTAAGATACATCACTAATTCAGTCAGCGCTCACACTGAAGGCAAATTGCCAAAAGGTGCACCAGAAAACCACTGTTACGCTCAAACGTTCTACCAGTAAGAGCTCTGTGGAACAAACTGAGCCCAGCAGAGCTCCCCTGACTTCAGAGGAAATGCATTTCCGATCGCTCCAACGGACACCTCAGGTACGAGCATCCTTCACAAATCCAGCCGTCATGTTTTGTTTTCGCAACACACGGCGCCTCCGCAGGTGCCCTCGGACCAGAGTGAGCCTACAGAGAGCGCCTCAACAACAGCCCACGGGCACAGCATGCCACTGGCATCGCTATGTGACGTGGGTAACTGTCGCACAGGTTTCTCTGCCACAGAAAGGTCAAGCTCCTCCCAGCACGGTGGCCGGCCCTCCTCCCACCGCACATCAAGTGCCATCCACCTGCGAGATGAGCTTTTTCTGCGCCGCCTGCATGACAGCCTGGGCCATCGCCATTTCATCTTCGTCAGGCTGAACCTCTTCGTCGGGTTTTGATCTCATCGTCGATAGCTTGATTTCTTTGCAGCTAAGGACTGCGAATGTATCTGAGAGGAGCTCACTGGCCTCCAAGTCCAACGGAAGGATCTCATCCACAAAGCACGCTGGAACGCACAGGGAAGGAATACGAAGTATTTTACTGGAAACAGCAGCGCCATAAGGACTGGAAGATAACACGGCTGGAGTGATTATACAGACACCAGTCCTTTGTTTGCCAGATTTTTAATGACAGACCCTTACCTAGGATGCTGTGGCTGATCTTTGTTGTGATGCTGAACCTCTGCTCGTCTGTGAAGTGGTCGAGCAGGAACCTATAGATAAGCATCCTTTTTTCTTTGTTATCTTTTCCCTTCAGAGAGAAGAGATTCTTCGCCCTGTGGCAGAACAAGACACTTTACAAGGTCCAAGTCACATTATGCGAACTCACAGAAATAGTAAGCCTTTAAATCAGCAAGGAATATTTGAATGTCACTTTCAAGACCCATAAACCTGTTCGGAAACCACGCACTCCCACAAATTACATGCAGAAGTCCTCCCAGAAGTGTCACAGGGAAGGCAGGACACTCTCAATTTAACACTCTTTTCCCTAGCTGTTTTCCCCCTACTGCATACATAATCTTAAGCGCCACGAGCGCTTTGCTGCAGCCGAAAGCTGCAGGGCCAGACAGCTCATCATTTAGCAACAAGGAGACACGGATGTGCTCAACTGACCGCACGCTCTGGGGGAACCTGTTGTACTTCTCGTGTTTCTCATAGCTATTGAAATGGAAGATGCACTCAATGAAGTGTTGGGAGAACATTACTGGATTCCTCTTCAGCAAGAGATGCACCAAGCAGAACTCTCCAAACCTGGAAAGGAGGAAAAAGAACAACTTATCATCTGGCAGCTTCTAAAAGCCACCCCTGAAACACAGCGTAGGGTCACAAGCTGTAAAGCGGGAGGATGGTTTTCCTCTGCCAAGTGTCCCTCAATACCACATTTAATTCTTGCCCAGCTCCACCTGGCCTTGAACAAGGATATCAGCTTATTGACTTTAAGCCTTTCTTCATTCAGAAAGAGACAGATGTTTTCAGCATCCACAATGCTACTACTTTTTTTTTTTTTGCCATTGAACAGAGACAGAAATAAATTCGAACTTGAATTCAGGCACAACACTTTCATTACATAAATAACTTAAGTTCCACTGTGGCTGAGACACTTACAGGACTTTGCAAAAAGTTAATCACCAAAAGTCCTGCAATATGTGCAAGTCAATCCCAGACCAGAGGAACGTGTTTTTGTCTGGACGCAGTCACTAAACGCAGTCGCAAAGAAAAAGGCTCCCAAAGAAACAGCACCGTGGTCCCTAGCTAAAGCTCTAGGAACACGATGTTGCAATGTCACCATCTACTGGAAAGACATTCTTAGATATAAAAAAACTCACTGAAAAGAAAAGAAAGTGTGAATATGCACTAGCAATCTATGATAGGCTGGAAAGACCAGTCTTCGGAGGGACGGTTGCAGGCAGAAACAAGGAGCAAGCTGTCCAAGCCTCCTCTGCATCCAGCATCCCCACACGATCTAACATCCTTAAAGGAACCTGCCCCACTCTCATTTCTCACCTCACAGAGCAGCTTGAGACTTGGAAACCTACAAAACCTTCACAAACATGGACTTAAAGCCAGTGTGTGCAATTCCTCTCACAGGTCAAAGTACTATAAAGTGTGGTAGAGGGTTTAAGGAGACAAGGCACGCCATGGAACAAAGAGAATATTTAATCCTGTTCCTAGAACAAAGCCAGTACTCAAAGCAGAGCCTAGTAGAAAACCACGAGGAAGATTTCATAAAGGCTTCAAATGCCTTGGACAGAGGTTCGCTGCTCCTTTGGTACCATGGCAGACCCTAAAGCCTCAACAGGGAGTGAAGAGGTTAATGGGAGAATCATCTGCTCTCTCACTGAAATTGTTCTCTGCACGCTGAAGGTGCAAGACTGAGACTGGTGTTTGAGTCCATCTCTGATCTTCAACCCGTTCATTCTTTTACAGAGGTGGACTTTACCTGGCAATCTCTGGATTTGGATCCACCAAGACACTGATGAAACGGAAGAAGAGACAGTCTTTCCATTTCACATATTCCTCCTGTAAGACAATAAATTCTCAACCTGAATCAGGAAAAACCTCGTGTGAACCTTCAGACTGTAGTCAGGACAGTATCTGACGGATCCTAGCAGAATGTACCTCAGGCAAACGAGCAAGCCGTACACTTCAGCTGGAGGGACACAGAGCAAACGCCAAGACAAAAATGTTTTGGAGGATGCTTCAAACAGCATAAATGCCACAGCGACAAGCATCTGGGTTTACCACAGGTATCACCAAAAAAGTAGAACCATGAGAAATCTGTTCTCCCATCCCAAAGCACACATGCTCTTCAGCACTGCTCTCAGAGCCAAATGCACTCCAAATCTGCCTTGGTGGGCTTCTCACGAACTTTGGGAGGGTAACCGTCTTGAGCCTCTCAACATTTACACCTTCAGAAGAATAAGCAGAGACAGCAGGAGAAATAGGTGCTGTGACGCTTGTTATACTCATTCAGATAGGATGGAAATTGAAAGGAATTCAAAGAAACAAAGAGAAGACAAGAAAAGAGGTACCCATAGTGTAAAAACAACCTCATTATTCAACTGTGTTAAGTGTCCTCGATGTGATTTCTGCCTAGCTAGCAAAAAAAAATAAATAAATCAGTAACAAAATACATAGTTTAAAGTCTTCCTGATTCAGTGTAGATTGATCAAGGTATAAGCATACACCCGCTGGACATGCTGCCCGTATTCAGCACCGCAGAGGTACCTGGAGCGGGCGGCCAGGGGCTCAGGACCTCTGTTTACCTGCAGAAGGTTGGTGAGCAGGATCAGCGTCTGCTTACGGATGAAGGGATTTGGGTCCTTCAGGCACAGCGAAATGTTGGGAACGTATCTGTCCACCATGGAGGTGTAGCGGATGCACAGGTCACACATCACGATGACAACGTTATTGCGAACAGCCACATCACGTGACACCTCCAGTTCTCGAGCCAGAGCTGCAATGCATTTCTTTGCCAGATCCTCATGCTGTAAACACAGTTTACCTGTGAAGCAAGAGACGAGGGTGTCAGTGCTGTGAATATATTCTTCTTCCTAACCACCACAGCCCAGCTTACTGCCTCCTTTGAGTCCCATATGAGCCAAGAAAGGAATCAGGAAGTAAACAGGGGCATAAACAAGAAACACATGCTGAAACTTGATGAGCAATCTGCACGATCTCTCAAAGAAGTGATACTTCAAGGCGTTCTTCCAAACTCCTCTTAGACCCATAGTGTGGGTCCCTATGCCAAATTCCCTCCTTCACAGAGAACTATTTCTGTGTACAGGGTATTATTCAAAGCAGCTAAAAAGAACAGCCCCAGCTGTCACAGGCATAGCAGGGAGACACCCACCTCTAAGAGCATCCCTAAACCAACTTAATATAAAACAGCCTGCGTTCCAATGTTACTTCTCCCCAACTGTTTCTAAGCTCAGTACAAAGTATTGGGCTTTCCAAAGCAGTTCAGGAAACACTAATACCATCTACCTGCCAGAGAAGAGACTCGTTCCTAACCACAGAGGTACTACAAAATCAGAACTTTCACTTAGTACGCTCCGTAATACTGGAGATGCAGATTTGACCAGGCTTCTATCACAAAGAAGCATTTTGTTCATGCTGAGAACAAGGAAGTACGTGCAGTCATTCTGCTCTAAGCTGCACCAAAAGCACCAAGTTCTCTTCACCCTCTGTTGAGCATCTTACTCCATGGAAGACGATCCTTCAGCCGGACAGCAACCAATTCCGAGTACAAGGAGAGTGCAATCCTCAACGACATCATTGCTAATTATTAATCACTATTAACGCAGTAGCTATTAATGCATTGAGAAGCAATCACATAGATGGCAGCATTTTTATGGTTGTTACCATGGATATTCGCACTGCTCAAAGCCACGAGCTGAGGCGACGCGAACGTTACGCACTGTGGCCGTTACAAGTGACAGGGCTTTTGAGCAGAACCCTGACCAGAAGGGCTGGGAACTGGATACACCCGGGCACGCTTCGGCCGCAGGATGGCACTTACCTAGAGTCACGAACGCGTGAGCTCTGACCACTGGAGGCATGGCTGATCCTCTGAACTGGGACAGTGGCTGAGAAGCGGCAATTTCCTTATCTTCTAGAGAACTAGCCGCTAGGAAAGAACAGGTCAGGAATGAAAACATGCTTTTTTTTGGCAAACAGTGTTGTCTGAATGCAAAATGAAAGACAGGAAGGAGAGCGCCTCACATGGGTCCTCGTTGACAGAAGCAGCCAGGATGGACTGAACCAAAAGGAAGATGCGTTTCTCCACTTTGGCGGGACAGAGCTGTGCAGCCTCACCCAGGATGAAGAGGTGCCTCACCTACAGACACACAGCAACGCTGCAGTCAGAAGGCCACGGCCCAGCCGCCCAGTAAGCCAGCAGGAGTCAGTACAGTAGGTACTTCTCCAAAACCAACTTAAACTCCCTCAGTCCTTTCAAGAAGGCAGTGGCTAGGGAACAGAAGGTCAAGCTTTGAAACAGAAATGGTGGGGGCGGGGGGGCGCGGCTGTTTAATATGCTAAACCCTCACACATCTACTGCTAATACTGGAATACTCCTCAAAGCAGTCTGTGTGTTTTACAGACTTATTTCCCAGACAGCTCATCTAAGAAATACGAGTGGAAAAGCGCAGAAAAACCGCGTCATTTTACTGAAAATACGTGGGGTATCACATCCTTAAAGCCATTGCTGGGGTGTAGAACTGCTGTACGCTCCCAGGCCCGTAACTACCAGATTTCGTCAGGAGCTCAGCCACAAGGTGGGCACACCAGTACTGTCCTGCGTAACACAGCCGTGGGCATGAACTTCAGGGAACACCCGTCTCAAGTACGCCGTCGTCCTTCGACCAGCCCGTGAAGGGGAACCGAACTTACCAGCAGATCTTCGCGCAGCTGCTCCGCTCCATCCTCCGTGAGGACTACATTCGAAATATAGCTTTCACAGGTGGATACTAAATCTCCACACACCTGGTTGAGCAGCTCCTGTTCCATAATTAAACAAAAATAATTCGGCACTTCATTAATTAAACAAAATGTAGCTGTAATACCTGTTCACACATGAATCCTTAATCTGAAAGTCTTTATATGCTTTTAATAATCTAGGTCCAATTGAAATCCATCAGACAGTGCCTTAGAGCTTTAAAATTCTTCCTGCACATCAAAGGAGGTGTGCAAGTGTCAAAACACCTTGGAGAAGCTGGCTTTTAATGATCCACGGGCCTAAGTTTACTTCATTATAGAAGTCACACAGATTTAAACAAAAAGGATTTAGGTGACTGTTTCATGTACATCCAACGCTTTTGAGGTTGTCTGTGTGAATTTTTAAGTGTTGTTTGGAAAACGCAGTTCCATTCAAATGAAAACATGATGTGAATTCCAAGAGGCTGAAGGCAAACCAAAAAAGGTAACTGTCTACCAGATGAAAATAATGCATCATTTCTCTTCTTCTACCATCTAAAACTGTTAAGAAAAGAAACCAAATACATGTATGTATGGCAGCTAAGCTGTTAGAACTGCTGAAGTGACCAATGTTCAGGAAGACCTGCATTTGGTTGTAACCCAACATACTGTGATGACTATACCTACAAGGGAGGATTTTCTGACTGCCCATGTAACAAGACAGAAACCATCGATCCACCCTGGCATCTGAAGCGCAGAGCGCGCAGCTTTGCAAACTATCTACTGAACTTTATTGGGGTGCCCGTTACAAAATAGCTGTCATCAACGCCGAACGAGAAACGTAACTTACAAAGAGAAATCATCAGCAAGAGAGACCTGCATCAGTTTTAGCTTCTCTGCGACTGTGCTCAGGCTCAGATCTCTATTTTACCAGCCCACCTTCTCACTACAGGAGGAGAACAAAGCTATGGCATAAAACCAACGGGGGCAGAAAAGAGAAATGTGCCAATGATGTGTCATTAACTCCGTTTGGTCCCACGAAAGAGGCCTAGAAAACACGTGTACCTACAGCAGCTCTGATATAGAATCAACCTACAGCTTCAAACAGGACGAAGCCTACGAAATAGCTGAGATCATAAAGGCACAGCAATAGGTCTCCTTGAGGAATTCTGTGAACTTTGACAGAAGGCTAAGTAGTTCGGAGGCTGGGCGGGGAGGAAAGATTTCTTCTTTTCTGAAGAAGATTTCTTACAAGCCCATCCTTAGCTACAGGATGCTCTCCAGGACGACTGCAGTCAAGCAAGTGAGAGAGCTGAGCAGAGCAGACTCAAGTTGCTGGAGTCGGATCCTCTTTGTCTCGAGAGCTCATCAACCTACAGACTGGAGTCAGGAGCTGCCTTCAGGAGACAGCCCTCCTAAGTGTGGAACAAGCTATTTTAAAAGACATATTTTAAGTCACACCTGTGCCTCCTCCAGCACATCTGCGTACGCGTGGCAGAGCTTCTGCAGAGTTTCTACAGCTGGGCTGATCACCTCCAAGGGACACTGAGACTCCCTCAGCCAGCACTTGATATTATCTGAAAATGAGATCACACACGTAAAACGAGCATTTTCTAAGCTTATCTCCTGCTTTTGGAGAAGAACGAACTGTTAAGGTGGGAGGCATGAACCCTCCCTGCCTTCCCTCGGCAGTTTCGCAGGGCCACTCACCGATCAGCCCCTCACAGGTGCTTTTGGGGAGGTGCTTTGCAACGTGACCCATGACACACAGGATGTGTGCCGTAGTATCAACGCTCACGTTGGGCTGCCTGAAAAACAGCAGAGCAGGCAAACGAACGTTAACGCTAAGGAAGACCACCAAATCGCAGCAGCAGAACCATCCCTTCATCTGGGCCATGCATTATTAAGGGAGACCTGTCAAACCAAACGAAAACTCAAAAAGCTTGAGCTAGGAGTTGGTTACTGCAGGCCACTGCTTGCCTCCTAGCTGGAGAACCCACTGCCTGAATCAAGAACCGTGAACGAAGCAGCAATCTGCCTGGGGAAGGCCAGCAAGTGCTCACCAGCTTGGTTCCCCCCCCTTCACCCCCACCTCTTTCCTGCGGAACGGAGGATGGAGTTCAAAACACATATATACCTGCTGACATGGTCCCAGGATTCAATGATCTTGGAATAATTCAGCTTGGGTGAAGAACCCGCCACCTTAGCAAGCAACATCCAAGCCGCTACGGCATGCTCCGTTTCCACATGAGACATGACATCGCTAATGAAAGTGGAGGTGAACTTGTTCTGTTTGGACCACATGTGAAAAGCTTTGTTCAAGTAACGGCTGCAAGGAAGAAAGGAGGAAAAGTAAGTTAAAGGAGGAGAAAACAAATCACTTGGTCTTAGACACTGGCAGTGTAATCCAGCATCCCTGTCCAGGACACACTGGGCAACGCCCCAAAGCTGCCATCGCTTGGCGTCCCCAGAACCCAGAATACATGGGGGCTTTAGATACTTCCAGTCTTTCAGTTCATAATCCTGACGTGCCTCAGACCTGGCATACAAGCATGGATGTAGGGCTCTGTGTCAGTGAGACAGAAGGTCCAACTGGTACCACGGCACATCAAGAAAAGACACTTTCAGCAATCAGTAACAGAGACTTTCTAGTAGTTGTGATTTAATACGCAGAATGGGACAGGACACAGTCATGTTAAGGCACCACAACTTGCTCATTTTTCTGTTTAACCCTAGTTACCCACTGCATGTTGAAAGAGTTCTGAGATGTATCAAGCTGCAAGGTACCCTAAGGTCAGGAAGAAGAAGGTGCCATGAATCTGCAAACTATGTTATAAAATAGCCCGAATTAGAACATTGACAGTTTCACAGATTGGCAAAGCAGCACAACCAGTATCTCATTTGCTATTTCTGAGCTATTATGCCCTGTTGACTAATAAACATACAGCTGTCTTTAATCAATGTTGTGTCCTTGTCATACTGTGTGTCATCGCGTTTCTTCTGCTTCTTCCCACAGCGTTCTGCAAAAGGCAGAATAATTCTATTTGTCATAAGACAAGTACATCAGCATTAATAAGAGGCGATGTTCTCCTTTCTTTATATATCCTCTCTTACTTCTGTCATCAGAACACCTCCATTTGACTTAAATATTCATGCTGCTACCAACACATCAAGAACAGCATGCAAGGCTCCTGCACGGGAACGCTCGAGCTCGGGGAGAGAGCACAGGTAGCGAGAGCAGCAAGTGAACATACTTGACCCAAAGGAACACTGCGCTCCTCTCGCCAGCTGCCCGTGCTCCACAGCTCCTCTGTCCCAGGAACGGGCAGCGTGACACAAGCCCCTCACACCAAGAGAGTTTCCAGCTCTAGCAGGAATACGTGCTTATACTGATTGCTGCAAGCAGGGAACTCAAGTAGCTTAAAAAAATCAAATCATTTTCCTGTCCTTGCACAATAGATGGCACGTGCCTTTTCAGCAGTACGGAAACCACCGGCTGTGGCCACACCGTGACCGAGAGCACTGACAGGATCAACTTATACTCTTACCTTAGTCCCTCAGTCAATGGGCACAACGGGCCATTTCCCTCTGCAAAGGAAAACTTACATATTCTAACGGGATTAGAAGTTAAAAAACTCTGATTTTGTGCCTGAATGCTAACGTAGTAAGAGCAACAAAGTCATCGGACAAAGGGCTATTACGGAAGAGCCATCAGAGCTCACAACGGCAGAAGAAACGCGCTTACTTCAGCTCCTGGCTCTCTGAAGTCAAGAGGGTAAGGAGATCCCACGCTAGGGCCTGCTTCCCATCTTCACTCCTGAATTTGTTATAGTATTTTATATGTTGCAACAAGAGCTGATCAAGGCAATCCAAGGCCTTTTCTTGGACAGAACTTTCAGCGTCCATCACAGCAGGCACCACACCATTTAACCAGGCCTTCTGCACCAGAACATTGTTGTGCTGAGACTGAGAGAAACACACATTGTGTTACAAACATTTTGAGATCATTAGAGGATCCTATAAGCACAGGTAAGATCAGCCCAGGCCTAGAAACCTCCAGATTCAGCTACTAACTCTGAAAACAGATTTTAATAAATCCCACCATACTGCTCGACTAGCACTGCGATGTGGTGGCATATGGGACAAGGGAACTGGCGTCTCCTTGACATCACAAGGTATTTGATCATATCTATGATCAAGCTACCTGCTGCTTCTGCTAAAGTACTGTAATACTTTGTTTTGAAACCCTATAAATAATCATAACAGTATCGCAATAAAGCTGTACTGCAGATGATTTAACACTAAAAAAAAAAAAGTTTTGCTTAATATAAACCCTATGCTCCAAGCCCAAGTTACTAACCCTTGGTGAATAAATAGAAAAGAAAAATATCGCAGTGCTATCATCTACACATTACACCTTAGTAAAGTGATTCAGATCTTTTTTTGAACTTGAGAAGGCCAGCAACATAAACATTTTCTCCATGACACATAGATCAACAGCCAGGAAGATACATGTTTCCAACAGTTGGAAGCATTCTACATAAATCACAAGTATGTACAAGAATGAGTCATGACTTCCAAGTCAAAAGGTAATAAAAAAAAAAAAAATTTAAACACAGTCATAAAGTGAAATTCAGCGAATGAACGACTGACATGTACCAGATTTGCCTGTTTCCTCCTTCTTTTAACCCACAGTTTGCTCATCTCAGGGCTGCATAAGAATTCATGACATTTTTTGCTCACCACCAGGAGCTCCGTTACAGACTGCAAGGCCTGCTTCCGCACAGAAACAGCCGGGTCCCGGCACCGGTCTTGAAGAGCGGACAAGTCTTCTGCAGTGCAAGGGACCACCTTGTGCTTCAGGATGTTCACAAACACCTGGGAGTCAAACGCCAGCAGAACTTTGTGGGTAACACAGGCCACGCGCACTGAGGAGCGAATCAAAAACACAATCTACCCCCTACCAAGTTCAACTCGAGATTAATTTATCTCACCCAGAGCGAAACATCACATCAGCAATTGATGAGCACTGGGCACAACCAGGAGATGCAGAATGAAGCACAAAGCATCTTTTCAGTCATTCTGATTTTATAACAGCATTTGGATAGAGCGAATGTCACAATTTCCCCTTGAAAATATACGTGTCTCATAATTATACAAACCATATCTTTTACCTGGTAGTAAGGAAGAGGGGATTTCTTTTTTTTTCCTTAATCAAAAAGCATTAAAGCAAAGCAATTGTAAAGCTTTAATTGGGAAGCTCAAATCGGCATGTGAACTGAGGGGGAAGAGCTGGGCTGAAGAGGACTAACAGCAGAAAGCAGTCAACAGCAGACATGTATTTTTTAGAAGGATGGAATGTTCATTGAAGCATATCTCTTTAAAAGCTAATGACTTCATTAAAAAAATTAAGCAACAGGCAAAGCACCGCAGACCTCGAGAAGAGGCTGGATATAACCTAATCTCTTTGTTAACAAGGTCAAAACAAACTAAGCAGCTAATATGCTTCAGTTTATAAGGAAGTCGCTTAATTGAAATGCCTATTGACATTTGAGAAGAGCCTCTCTTGCTAAATGACGGAATAAGAGAATGCCAGCCAGAGTACTAGAAAAATTTTCCATCATCATGCTTGCATTATTTACCCTGCAGGCACTCCGCAGGAACAGCGGGAAGCTACAGGTGGGCAAAGTTACATCCAGCTCGCTACAGTACTACGGCCTAATTCGTTATTTCCACGGCATTCTGGGTAGTCACCGGGAACAGGGAAGCACGCAAAAGCCACCGTACCTGGAGAGCAGATTTCCTCACGTTGGTTTTCTCATCCCCGGCTCTCAGTCTCAGCATGGCCATGATTTCTTTTCCTGTCCAAACCCGCGATAACGAGAGATCACCCACAGCCCCGCGCAGCAGCGCTGGCACGCGGAACGCAGCAAGGAGGAGTACAGCTCTGAACCCAACTGAACAACCATTTGTTGCCCGAGACACGCAGAGGGCAAGAGGGGAGGACTGAACAAAGCACAACACACACACCCACCCAAAATAATGCAGAATAAGCCAGACAGGGAGGAAAAAGCAAAAAAAAGTCCAGGTTCTTTCAATTGAAAACATATCTTAGGACATATCACAGCAGAAAGCGAGGCACTAAACCATTTGAGACGTGCAGCAAGAAGAAAAGAAATCATCAGTAATTTCTGCCCTGTTTCTTTGTCTACATCAAGACGTCAGGCTACCTTCTCAGCTCGAGAGCTCCTCAGACGAATCGTGCACAGTTCTAACCACCGCCTGCAGCACAGGTAACCCTGCCACCCGCGGGAACAGCACGCCGAGGGTGGACCACAGACAAAGGGAACCCACGCAGACCCAAGACAGGTTAACAGACCTGCGTGCCGAGAGCTCAGAACGCCTACAGCCTCCGCACAGCATAAAGCATTAATTCATGAACCGCTGTGTTTTACAGAGGGGAAACGACTCCGTTTATCAATTGACTGAATTCCTTGAGGCTGCAGAATGGCAGCTGCAAAGAAGAACCCAAGAGTCTACAAGGAAATCAGAACACATCTCCCCTTCCTGAACGTCAAGTTAGGCCTCAATTTTTACTTTCCATAGCCATTCATACTCATTTCTGCACGTTCTCGGGAAAAATAGCCATCATAGTTTATTAAGTGACACCCGACTGAATACACAGAGCCACAAACAATTATTTCTCACCTTTTGAATCATTCAAATGCACTACTGACAAGCTGACAATACCGACCTCAAGCATTTCACCATGGCTTTTGAGGTTTCTATTTTGTTTGCTAGATTTATTACAGCACTAAGTAAGATTTCCCAAACATATGCCAAATTCGGAGACCTGTTACTTTGAGAGGTTCGTGTGGAGATCCACTCTGTTGCCATTAAGAAATAGGATTAGTCACAGGGAACTAATCAAAAGCAGTCTGAACACAAGTTTTTACCCAAGGAAGCAAAGGGATTTTGATCTGCGCTTTCTTAATGAGCAGCTAACTGCAATCACGTCTTCCTCCCGAGAGCAGCTTGACAGAAAAAGCACGGATTTCGCCATTAAAATAGTCCAGCTCTTGTGAAAGTGACCGAATTTGCTAAAATAATCACAACTTTGCCAACTGACATTGATTTTACTCACAGTGACATAGAAAAGGAGAAAAAATAAAGCCACCAACCAAACCAAAACCAAGGCTGAGAACTGTCAAGGGAATCTATTTGCATGTTTGCCTGCTGCCGGGCAGTGGTCATTCCGCAGCGCACACCTCACCCTGCAGATTATCCCCACCCTGCTTATCTGCGCCCTTGTGCATCAGCCCCTTCCGCCTGTCCTCGGCTAAGATTTATTTCGCTTCTAAAACACGAGCTGTTTGGTCTTTGTGGAAGCGCAAAATTAGCACAGGCTTAAGCCAAACGCAAGCGCGTGCCAGACAGCTTTGCTAATGCACCTTGACTGACTCGGAGAGCCCTGTATTGCAGCTATCCTCCTGAGCTCCAGACGGCCCTTTTTTCATCCAACCCTTCTCTTAATTTGCTTTGCCAAGTGCCAAGTGTATGCTCAGCTGGGTATCAGACACAAAGCCAGGCATCCTCTGCCACAAGGAGTCTGCAGCTAAGCAGGGAATACACAATACCACAAGTGGCCCGGAGGACTTTTCTATCTGAGAGCGCGGATTAATGACATTTATCAGCGAAATGTTTTAAAAGAAAGCTTTCAGTGGAGGAGACTGGAGCCTGGCTCAAGGAGATAGGGAGAGAGATCCCATGTGAAGAGCAGCGTGAGACGTGTAACAAAGACACAAACGCAGGACGCGAAGCAAGCAGCGAACTGAACTGTCAGCAGTTCACGAGAGGTGAACAGCAAGAACGGAGAGCAAAGATACCGGCAGAGGCCTAGAGGTCGGGGAGAAAAGCTTTTACGTGGAAGAGGAAAAGAGAGGAGGAGATCCAAAGGAGGAAGATCGCGGCCGCAAAGGCCAGATGACACGCTGACGGCAAGCTATCAACAAACTGGAACTCGCCGCCTGCCGTTCTGCATCAGTCCATTCACCCTTGCACTTGGCTTGCAACTCCAGCCGATACCTGCTGCTGCAGAGAAGCGAACTCTTCCCCGCATCACAGCGCTAGTCAAAAGGGGCTGTGTTTTACGGAGCAAAAATGGATTACTTCTTTGTGCGCTGGAGCAAGAGATTTAATTACCCTTAAATTTATGGAGTTACAAGTATTATATCCCACATCAATTACCGACCTTTTTGGAAACAATAAATTACCTGCTTTTCAGTAAGCGTTGCCACCACATTAGCCCAAATGGACATGAGTATTTCAAGATTAAATATATTTTTCAGACTTGAGTGGAAATAGTGTTTCTTTATGGCTGGCACTTACACCCCCTTCATCACCCCTAAGTGTTTTTCAACAGCTCTACAGAAAGCTCTCTTCGCTTTCTTTGAAAAGCGGACAATGAATACACTTCAGAAAGTCTAATTTCAATTAAGTTTTGAAAAGTTATCTGAAAAGGCTAGTATAATTTTGACGTACCATCAAGCGCAGTAGTATCACTGCTGTCTGTCAACTCAATGGTTTTGAAGGTCGGTAAGGTCTTCAGTGGATGGCTGGACAGAGCTGAAAGAAAAGTTAAACTTTTAAGAATGAAAAAGTCACGTGTTCACCCAGCAAGATGGTTCGCTCTTAAACGGTGCCTCGTGCATGCCCTGGGATTTACAGATGCACTTATTTTTAGAAAATGGCTTGCCAAGAAAAGCCCGAGGCTTACTATAACAGAATGACTCTATACCTTCCGCACTGTCTATCGAACTCGCAGTCTTTGTGTTTGCTTCCAAGACTGTATGGTCACAGGCTGCCAAAAAGAAATAAAAAAAGAAATTAAACGAAGTATTTTAATTCCGGATATTCTGTCATTCCCAGGTTTTTCAGGCAAGCAATCTAACCGTAGGATGCTATGTGCATACTTCTGAGTTGTGCCATCTGGCCTTTACCACACCTGAGGGAGTTCAGAGTGCCAATCACGAACAAAACAACAGCAGAAGCAAAAGGCAACTCAAGATTTAACCAACTGTTAGGCAAGAACCAATTTTTTTTTTTCCAAATGAGCAATTTCAGTCGTCTGTAAATATCCTTCAAAGGTATCTCATGCAGCAATCTATTTAACACTGACGTACGTGAATAAATCCCTTCCAAACAGAAGGGTTCATGAGTAACAAGACTCATCCATTACTTCTCATTATGACACCACACGCAAGGACACTACGTGCAGATTTTTAAGCTCCTAACAACTAGTTCTCTGAGCTCCCAGCAATTACTCCCCAGAAAGTTCAAGAAATATTTTCACTAATTTGTCCACAACACTTACAGCTTTGCACCAAGTCCTGTATGCTCTCCAAGGTAGCAGCAGCTTTCATTTCGAGACAGTGGGCAAAGCTGCTTAAAGCTTTGCTACGGACCACGGGTGCTTTGTCCGAACACCGGCCAAACACCATGACCTGTACTAAAAACTTATGCTTTAGGAAATTCTGACGATCCAGGGACAAGGAGCTGTCCGAGCTCCTCTCCGGCACATCCAACAAAGCCAAGGCGACGTCAAGAGCAAACACTCTGTAGGCAATCTGGAATGAAAAGCGCACAAGGGGTCCGTTAACGTAAGCGAAGACACAGGCGCTGCCCGCTCCACTCCCCCGTTTGCAGCACCAGCAATAACAACAATGCTCTGCAGGACTGATAGGGACCCCTTTGTCTTCAAACTACTGCTGCATCTGAACCCTGGAACATCAAGGAGATCTCCTTACCTTCGTGTTGCGTGAGTATTTATAAAGCCAAGCGATGAAGTCGGCAAACTCTACGCAAGGGAGTTGATTCAGCAAAGTCACCAAGGCCTGCGCAGCGTGCGTGCGATAGTCAGCCTTATCTGGGACCTGAAACACAAGGGCAATTGCACGGTGTGGTATTTCGGTGCTCTGCTCTGGAAGCCAGAATGGCACTTCAGGGCTTATTTTTTAATTTCATGAGGGGATACGGTCACATTCAGCAAGGACTGGGAGAACAATCACAGCTTCCTCGGTCGCTGCTTCAGCGCCCACCCACAGTCACACAGCAAATTCCCCACGGCAGAGGTGGAACTTAGATTAAACCCAGAGGCAGTATTTGTAACATGGCACTCTTCAGATAGTTAGCAGAGCAAAGAGCTCTCATAATCGTCTTTGTCCTCTGCCAAAACATCGGCAAAAGCAACTGCAAATTTTGGAAAGGTCACAAGTCGGGTACAACCAGTTGTGAACGAGGGGGGAAGCGCTCACCCTCAGTATTCTCCTGGAGTGTGACACGACGTGTCTGAACACTCTGCTAAAGATCAAAACAAAACGCAATCAGGCTGTCAAGAAATTCGCAGATGACGAAAATCTTTCCGTTCCTTCGGGAACACTGTGAAAACGGACATCCTAACTACTACAGACACCGCCATGTGTCCACACGTAACTCCTTCAGCTCAAGACGCAACAACGCTCAGCGTACCTTGGTACAGATATGTTGCAGCAATATTCGAAGAATGGGAAAAACAGCTTCTTTCAGCTCATCTACCAGAGAACTGCACGGAAGAGGAACAAGCAGACAGTAATAAGGCTGGGTTTATGACAGAGCAAAAATCAAGCCAAGGACATTCCCCTCAGGACGCGTTCCCAAAGTCAGGAAGAG